CGTGTCATATTCTTGACACAGTTCGTCGTGATGTTTTTCGGGGTCTTCTCAGGCTCATCCATTAGAGCTTTAGCCCGTGGCTTGTACTGTCCTACATAACACCTGTCAAACGAACCATTATAGGTGGGAGGTGGAACCATTCTGATTTCACTTCCATGCAACTTCGCTCCAAAATCCATTCTGGACTCAGATGGCGCGGTGCTGAATCTCTCAGTGCTCCGCTACCATGTAAAAGTCAACAGTCGCAATGTTCACAATCCACCTATCCAAATATACAGTTGGTCAAGTAATCACTCTCCACAGTCCACAGCAAATTTGATCAATCATTTGTGCACTCGCAGTGACTGCAATCCAGTCTTGAGCCAAACACCATTTGGTGTCATTCCAGTATGCTGACCATGTGGCGTGCAGTCCAGGTCAGTGTGGGAACAGTGTCGTCTAACAAGCAGCAGCGCTGCCAGCAGCGCCGCCAGCAGCAGCAAGAGCAGCAGCAGCGCCGCAGCTCGGACCTGGAAAAAAAAGCCGAGTAGCGGGAAGCGGCTGGAACATGTTCTACCCTGTGCTACAGCTTTGCGGGCCCACCAGCCTACCCTGGACTTGTTTATTTCGGCCAATTTTAGGTTGGCCCAAGGCTAGGGCTCGACCATTTCATTAGCTCGGAGCCGGAAAACAAGCCGAGCCTTTCATTCCCTTTCAGGACTTGGGGATGCAGGCAGTTCGGCATGTGCATGGCACCCCAAAACATGTAACTAATTGTGACTGTGTGTTGCTGCCACGTGCACACCTGTCAGTGGGAATTCTGTGCGTTGAATCTAATTCAAATTTTGACCGGATACCGCCATCGTGAAACGAAATATTTGGTTAAACGAGATCGAGCACTTTGTAATTGGAGCTTGCTAAGATGTGCGAGTCCCTTCGTCGTGCGTTTGATGAATCGAAGCAGAACAACAATACAACCTTGTTTGATTGTTGATGGTTATGAATTGTACTTGATATTTTATCGCCTCTGAAGCTTTGAAAAACATCATCATGAAGGTCTCTCTTTGCTGTCTATGCGATGTACCTCGGTTGTACTTGTGTTGCTCGCCATGCTCTGCATTGTTCGCAGCAGGCCTGCAACTCATAGCAGGTAGCCTTGCTTGTATTTTACAACTTGAAATGACCGAACAGACGTTGTAGCCGTGCCTTACGGAGTCATTTCCGTCATCTCACGTAATACCATGCGCCATGCATCGGCACTTTTGATTCAAAAGTTAATGTGCTGCACTGGAGCTCGCAAGCTTTATGAGCAATTGTGCTGGGGAGCGAGCATCACATGACGGTCACATATTAGCCATCGCGACCGATGCTGGCGGTATGGGCCTTTCTGAGCTCCGCTTTGCGCTCAATGGGTTGGTGCTCGGTGGTTGATTTTGTGCATTCACAACTGGCATTCTTTCATGTGGTGCATTGCATGTTTGCACATGTTTGGCGTGTCTGCGTTCTGAGCCTTGCATTTGAAACGTGCAGTTTTCGTTTGCATCCGTTGCATTTGATGTGGAGAACCGCGTGCATATTCATGCATCGTGTGTGCATGGGCAAGGGAAATTCACTGAAGGTTTGTTCGCAAGCCCGAGATGAGGAGCGTGCTGCTCTATTCCAGGGTTCATGTACATTTTCATCCGTACAGGTGCAAGCTAGTTTCTTGGGGGGAGATTGATGCTCCAGTCAGGTCTTCTTTGCCTGCTTTGAACCAACATTCTGTTTAGCGACGGAAGGGTTTACGTGAGCATGTCATGAACATAACATATGCTATGATTCTGTTGTTGTGGCTTTTGTAACATTTGGGCGCTCCACATGAAATGCATGTTTTGCTTTCAGCTGTGTTTTGAAGACCACCCTAGACACAATTTTGGCAAAATCTCCTTCATTACATCCGTAGCTTGAGCTGTTAGGTACACCTTCCCAAACAAATCGACCGTGGACAGCCTTCATTTCCAAATCGGTGCTGAGCTTCAACCCGAATGACAAAAACTTTGCAAAACAGAAGGTGCCGTGAGGTAGTCAAATTCAACGAGACGTGATTAACAATGTGGTAAATGCTCACCAATTTTGAGTGTTTCAACATGCAACTGGTGTTGAGCTTGCAGCTTGTTGAGCAAAACCAATATTGAGAAGCGAGATCTTTCTTGGAAAGATGGCCAATATGCAAACGGTTTTAGAGCAAGTGTTTGCAGGCTTTTTGTTGTTTGGAGTTATTAGCGCAACACCTGACACGCGCACCGTGCACCCTTCGAGCTCATAAATACCTTTCGTTCAAGGACTTCCGGTTCTGCGACCCGAAGATTTTCCCTTCTTGCGATGTGGGGGCCAAGGTGGGCAGAAAAGCCCCGGGCCTGTGGATCCTCGGTAGCTTTGGATTGCACCAATCTCTTCTCTGTGTATCCAAGAGGGCAGCTGAATTGCATCTTGGAAATTTCGGACAAAGTGTAGGCATTCGTTCCCCTTCTGCGAGCCTACTTTGAGAGGATGCCGAATGTTGTGCAGAATAAGCCGACGCAAACTTTGCAACATGATTCTCTGAAGCTTGGAATGCTGACCTCCCGGTCACATGCTCAGGACCACAAACGGAACACGTTTGTCCGTCAAAGCGAGCCTCGACCTTGCAGTGACTGTCTGTTACACTTTGACCCTTCCCCCTTCGATGCTAAAGCCCCTGCGGCATTTTATCAACGGGATTGGCTGTATGATGGACTTTCCCTGACAGCTCTGATAACGATAAAAGTCTGCGCGGTTACAGTGCAAGGCGTGAAGCTGCAGTCGTGAGCTCGCGCGTGTTGACTGCATCATGCCTGCACACGCACACAGCCACAACAACACCTTGTTAACGATTGTTAATTTCCCTCACGGCTCAGTGTGACAATGGAGACCGGCAGAAAGCAAATACAGAAGTCACTAGAACATCGAGAACAATCACAGTCGCAGTGATGTGCAGCAAGTATAGAGGTGACTTTGGTCTTCATACAAACAGTCACGCTTAAGAAAGGACGCCGGCAAATACTCAACCTTGAGGAGCCGATCCAGCCGCCACCTTCGCCTGCACGGGTGCGCCGGGATTGTCAATTGCAAGCATGTTTGTTTGTTGTTGTTGTTGTTGTTGCTGCTGTTCTGTGATCCCCTAGCCCTAGCCCTAGAGTTCAATTTCTGTGTTGGTGGAGGTTAGCAGCGCAAGAACAGAGCAACAGGAGTGTTTACATGCAGACCTTTGAGATCGAAAATCCTAGTTACACGCTCCACTTCAAGCGGTTCGTCATTTCATCATGCGGGTGACACCATGAAAGAAGGACAACTGCAAATTGGAACCGTCCTTTCAAAGCTGTCCTTGCAGATGCTTTGCAGCTTGTTCATTGATCATCCCGGGTATCCGTTGCAATCGCAGGAAGCTTCCGCCTATGCAGCAGCGCCACGAATTTGTCCTCCCGACTGAGGCGTGGGATGCGGGATTTTAGCAAGGAGGTAGCATGCTTCAATATAGGCAACCCTACGAAATGGAGTTTGAGTTTGGATTTGGCTGCTTGTGAAAGTCAAGGCAGCGAAGTCCATAGTGGAGATAGGGCTTAGTGAAAGCGTTCTGTAGACCTCACATATCACACCGGTCAGGTGCAGCTGGAAGAGAAGGCGATCATCTCGCTGCAAGCGGGCCACGATGCCTCGATAGCCATTGGAAAAGGTGGCCGGGTACAATGCGTCTTGGAGCTCGCAGCTTGTCCTTTCTATGCAATGCATAGAAGCCTCAAGCCTATTGCCCGTATTCGCATGAACGAGTCCCTTCAATCTACAGGGGTGCAGGCTGATTCGAGTCAGCATTCACGAGCAATAATTGTAAAGCTGGTCAGAATCTAGCTCACGACTGGTACTTGTCTTCTTTGTGTGCTTTACTCAAAAAGCTTTCAAGTGACTTTGCAGCTGTTTGTGCCTTTGATCAGTTTGAAAAACAAAGCTCCAAAACAGCAAAGCAAAATCCAGCTTCTACCTTACAGCATCGGACTCGAAATCGTACATCAGTCCGAAAGTGTTTCTGCAGCTTGGCAGCCATGAGTCCCATGTCTGCGCCTGCAGGTTTCGAGTGCATAGCACTCTGAAAAACCAGCACCTGCAGAGATGGAACTTTTCAAATCCACAGAACCGAACATTTGAAGCCTTGCTCGAGATGCTAAGCCGGAAGCTCTCACGGTTAAACTTCGCTCAACTAAACGGACACTCGAAGCGCAAAGCCTTGATCTTCAATTAAATCCTTCGTTGTCGACCCCAGGAGCGCTTGTATGAGATCCGCTACTTCCCGGAGGCACGCTATGAGTTTTGTGTAGCACGCCCCGAGCAGCTTTTGGTCACTAGTGCTATGCTTGCACATACTTTCTGCAAAAGAAGCCTGAGCCACAAGCCTCCAGTTCCACTTGCCCAAACAGCATAAGAACGAAATGAAAACCAGAGCGATAGCAACGATAGCGCTGATGCGAATCCAACACCCAATGCTCCAATGCCCCCTGAAGAGTAGAGCCTCGCTCCGAGACCTGAAGCCCTAAACTCCAAGTCGTTCTGTCCCGTAGCCAGAGTCAGGCTTTGGACAACTTCCAGAGCAACTGGAGAAGCCTGGTTTCTTGAAGAAGGGACTGCGACATCAAGGGGCTGTTTGACTGAATCCTCTCTCTCATTGTGTCGCGACAACTTTTTTCAACCTCAGACATTGAACTAAACATGAACAGAGAAGCCTTGGTGAAGTGAGGACGCGCATTGGAGGTTGTCCGAGATCGGTGCGACTGCGAGGACGGGCCATGCCCAGAAAAGAAACTCGGCTGTCCAGAAGCCAACATAGACTGATAGTGGCTTTTAAGTTCTCTTTTTGTTCTTCTTCTGCAATATATCGGAGAATCAGGATCGAAGGAGTTTTTGAGTTCCAGCAAGCCCAGATCCATGTGTCTCCAGTGCCCAACGTTGCAGCTCCCAGGTTTGACTATGGCATCATGGTGGGTTTTGGACTTCGCTTGAAGACGCACTTCACTTGGCTTCCCAGAGTTGTGGAATTGGTGTTCACAGTGCGAGAGTGGCGCAATGTCAACCATCATGCAGCTTGGCTGCGGAGCCTCTAGGCTTACCAGAGAGCCCACGCATCTCTGCCCCAACAGCTAGTCTGCATGGGAAGCCCCAAAACGTCTGGACTTCGAGCCACCTCAACAAAGGTTCTCAACTCCCGACATCCTCAGGGCCAACCCCGCAAGACACAAATTGGCAAAATCAAGTGCCAGGAAGCGCACGCCTTGATGGGCTATTTCAGCAGCTGGACAGAGTGGTGAGCTTTTATTTTCTGCTTGTAGAATTTCCCATAGTAGGGCCTCCCATAGGTCCCATAGCCAGGTGCAGCAAATCCAGGCCCGGGAATTTTCACACAATCCTGGCCGGCTGCATTGTGATCTCGTCAAAGGATTGTATGAGTTATGGTGCAGTATGCAAGTCGCTTTCGAGCTTGTATTGTTCTGGCAAGCCAAGTTAGCCTGAGGCTCTCCCTTTCGGAGCGCTCTCGTGCTATCCTACGATGGGGGAGGCAATGATGGAGTCTTCAACGTCTTCTTGGCACAAGGCATGGGCCTCTGTGGAATCATGACATATCAAAAGTTATGCTTTGCTGGCTCGAATGATCTCCTATACTGCAAAGGTCAAGAGCTCTGGCGCATTGCGCGCAAGCCGTTGAACCTTGGATACTTGGCAGAGCAAGGCGAGCAAGGCGCAGAAGTGCTAAGCACAGGTTTAGTCACAAAAGGCCTGAGAAGGCTGTCCAAGAGTCACTGAAAGTTCTGCCGAAGCAGCCAACTTGCTGCAATGTCGACATTCAGTGCCATGTATCAATGTGTGCATGCTCTCCCAAGTTGCAAGCTGATTGACTCTAAGGCGTGGGCTACCACAGGCTTGCAAGCTACCTTCCACAGGTGACTGGTGCTTCGGAAATTGGCATTGCAGCCTGTGCCGCCTTGGAGAAGGAGCACTGGCGTTACTATTCACATGTGTCAACCTGCTGCCAGGGCAAGGATCTTGCAGTCTTGCATATGGAGACTTTCTTCTGGACATAGTTGCACAGCCAGGTCTCAACTCTCAGCTGCATTCTAAGAGCCTATCCACAAAAGGTCTACGGGGAAGATGCGGTGCCCTTGGGCCGAGGCCAAACCCAAACCCTAAGCCCTCCCCGGCTTCCTCTGCTTCGGTTTATCAAGCCACTGTCGCCAGTCCATGCCTGTCCCTGAATCTAGACTCAAAGCCCTACAAGAGAACGCCCCCACCTCGATCACATACACAAATTACTAGAATCTCTGGTTCCTAAGTCCCAGGCAAGTCCCACACGGGCACAAAGCCAAGAATTATCTAGAATCATTCTGTCTTCACTTTGACACTTTCAGCCGTTGAGGAGGGAGATTGGATCAACTTGAAATATAACTTCGGGGACTCCCTGGCCTTGACCTTTGCCGGGAAGCTCATGGGATTCTTGGGCCCAAAAACAGGATAACCAGTGATAAGAACTTTTTTTTCTATTTTTAGAGTTTCTCTTTTATCCTCATAAAGAGCTGAAAAGCTTCTGGATAGTTGAGAACTACTATGGCTTCAGAATCCGTAGAAGTAGCCACAGAGGATACTCGGGCCTGGCGCAACCATCTGAGGAGGCTGGCTGTGTCAGCTTTGGGAGAACTCATGGCAGCGGGATTTTAGCTGACCAGGCGGTGTGCAAGGCCATTGAGCTTGTAACTGAGCCTTGCTCTGCGTCAGCTTTACCAACAAGGATCCCCAATGCAACGCTCTGAACTCCAGAGGTATACTTCACAATCAGTGCTCCCAGAAGAAATAGCTGAGAACAGTTCTGTTTTTGATATGATTCAACCGCTGCGGTGCAAACAGCTTGGTTTCTGCGCAGCTGGGCCACTGGATCAAGCTCTTCTACAACCGCCTGGAGAACCAGCAAAACGAGGCTCCAAGCTCGTTTAGCAGTCTCGCATGCTGTGGTGTTCTTGTCTCAGTGGGAGCGGTGCAGGTTACGCTATTGTCGTCGGCGAGCGAAGTTCAAGGGGTGCATGCAGTGTATTGTTGTAGTGACTTGCTTTGCGCACTCATTGTCATTACGATATTGTCTAGATGCATCAGAAAGATAAAATGTAGCTTGCATGGGATTTGAGGTGTCTTTGCGCTGCCTGAGCATCAGGTGCCTCGTGCGATGCTGGAGAAGATTTGTGAGTCGGACTGCGCCGAGAAATAGGGTCAAGAGTTTTAAAGGGGCAAAGAAGTTTTTACATACTGTGGAACTACTGAGCTTACCTGAAGCATTGTTTCAGTTTTATAGCTGTCGTGCTCGCAGGAGGATGGCCAGCGTGAGGTAGCTGCCTCCATCCAGGCGGAATTTGAGCGGCTGGTCCACGAGGTGGGGCAATTTGAATCGCTCATAACAAGGAGTTCGGGTGTCAGACAGCCGTCCCAAGCATTCCAGCAAGTTGCTTGACACATCAGAACTGCAAGGTGATGACGGAGTACCTGGATGAATTGGTCCGAAACAAGATCAGTGTGGAAGGTATTGTGATAACAGGAGGCTGTGCGCTGAATGTTATTGTGAATCAGCTCATACGCGACACGTTGACGGAAGCGACGTCGGAACAGCCAAATCTCAGCAAGCCCCAAGAAGTCTATGTTCCGCCGGCTCCCAACGACTCGGGGCTCACGGTCGGAGGCATCTGGTCTGTGTCACCGCCCACAGGCGCAAGGCAGAAGCTCCAGTACTTGGGCTTCCGGCTTTGGGATGTCGAGGCCTTGGATGCGACTGCGCATGAGCGCGGGGCAAGGCGCCTCTCTGAACTTGGTGGTGTGGATTTTCTGGCCCAGCTTCTCGCAGATCCAGAGGGCAAAAGGCCAATCCTGGCGGTTGTGCGAGGACGCCAGGAGTTTGGGCCGCGGGCCCTTGGACACCGGTCTTTACTTGCGGTCCCCGATTCGAGAAAGCTGCGCGACCGCATGAACCGTCTCAAGTTCCGGCAGTGGTACAGGCCTGTCGCACCAATGATTGCCGAGGAGGCGCTGGAAGAAGTCTTCGGACACAGGTACTTGTCACCATCCATGGAATTCGCTCCCAAAGTAAGAGAAGAGGTGTTGGAACGTTTCCCCGCGCTGGCACACTTCGATGGCACTGCGCGGCATCAGTCGGTGAGTAGAGGGGACGAGCCCTGGGTTCTTGTAGCCGCATTAGCAAGGCGTTCTTGAAACTCATTTTGCATCTCACCGAGAGTTCTTTGTGATGTTTCCTGAGGTGCACGCGCTGCTTCTAGCTGTTGGGAAGCGGACCGGGCTGCCCGCACTGATCAATACGAGCCTAGAATGTAGTTTTGAGTATGATTTCCTCATGATGACATACGGGTTACAAGCAACTCACAGCTGGGGAAGTTACCCAGGAGTTTCAACTCGCGTGGCAAGCCTATTGTCAACACAGCCCCTTGGATGAGATCCTTCAGATGCGTCGATCACTCTTCCAACCGAAAATCCTTTGTTTGTTTTTCCTGTAATGCAATTTTTGAGGTCTGCGAGGGTCCAGAGTGGAATGTGGCACGGGTAGGAGCAGGGGCATAGTTCTAGCAGTCTTGCATAGATGCTGATCAGGTCTCTGAGTCTTTGCAGATGCTTGATGAGCTTGCAGACCTGGACTATGTGCTTATCGAGGACTGCTAGCTGCTCTCGGGACCGTAGACGGGAAAGCTGTGATTTGAGGCTTTTGAACCCTGAGCCTGCTGAAAACCCAAACTTGAGCTTTGCAACTCGCTGTCACGCGGGGTGAGCTTCCTCCTGAAGGCAATCACAAAATCCTTGCTTCTTGAAACCAAACGACTGAAGTCCAAAACTGCTTTGCATCCACATTTCATCTGGAGGACTGGCTGTTCCATGCCCCAGAAGGGTCGAAGCCTCGGGTCAGTTTCAGCTCATGGCCGCTGCCAATGATTTATCTTGCCTTTGTTAGGATCAAGTCACGATTATTGCGTCCCGCATAGATACAATGCATTGCAACGTGCAGTTTGCAGCGTTTGCAAGTTGCGGTGATTTCTTTTTGTGTTGAGAATGCAACACAGACAGCTTCGGGGGCACGAGGGTTGCATCGCAGCAGGGATGATCATATCTCTGCCTGGCACACCGCCAATGCTCGCTGAGGAAGAAGCCAGTGGAGGCCACGCTGCCAAGAGCAGCTGTGGAGTGGTTCTCTCCACGCTGACCACTCGGAAATTGGAGATTGCCCGCCAGGCAACATTTGGAGGCATCATGCGCAGAAAGGGGGAGATTGTCCTCTTCAAGTACAACCATGCTCAGTCTTTGCAAAGACCTCAAGCAACAGTTGTGGCTATCTCTGGCACTGATGCTTTGTGGTTCTTCCTCGGACCTGGTAAACCTTCAGCATTTTCGCGGGAATGTCTCTTTGGCTGTTGGGTGGAAGTTCGATGTACACGCTTAGGAGGCCCTGATTGTGGCGGACAAGAAGTGAATCCTCATTAGTTTTGCAGCCTCTGCTGACACGGCTGTGTCAGCTTGTACGCTCTCTAGGTTGAGCCGCCGCCTGAAGACAGAGGGCTTCTTGCAAGATGCATGCTGAGGGTGTCTGACAAGGTCGGCAACCAGGAGAGATTGATGAAGGTGCTCATCTAACCGCAGCTGACGTTGGCGTGATCTGATTGATGGGAACCGCGTCAAGCAGGTGTAAGCAACCTTTGAGCCTGCAGAGTCTCTCTCTTGCGTCGGGAGTGCGAGCGCTCTTCAGGCCTTTGCTTCTTCGGGACAATCGCATGCCGTACTATGTCTTCGTTGATAAGGCATGTCATGCCAAGCTGACGAAGCTTGCGGAAGTTAGTATGCTCAAGGAGATCGTGAGAAACCATCCCGTCTCACAATGTGCATCCGAAGCGTTCTAGGTGCGGTCATGAAAGAATTTTGATTTTTTAAAAGACTGAAGTTGCCTAGCATCGGCTGTTTGACCAGCCCCTCTCTCAGGCGCACACGTTAGATGCCGAAATGTGCATTCGTGACAGGACTGCCTGCATGGCTGGGCTCGCAGCTGCTTAGAACTCTGAGCTTGAAACTTTCAACACCTTACCTTTACGTTGTAAGGTTTGACTAGCTCAGCTGTTTGGTTGAAGCAATCGTGCTAATGAGGATCATGCAAACTCAGGCAGGCCAGCTAGTCCATGAATCCAGGAATGCTTACGGCACACACGTCTCTGGGCCATGCGGGGCCGCGTGCTGTCCGGGGATTCGCGGGAAGGGAGTGCCTTCTGGCGGCATTCTGCAGTGCTAGATGTAGGATGTCAAATTTTTGTTGCGGGGCTGCGTGGAATGTAGGGAATTGAGGGGATACAGTTGAGGGCTGCTTTGCACAAGGCTCAGTAATCAGCGCGGAAAAAGGGAGGGGGGACACCACATCCGCAAGTTGTGCTCACACGGGAACGGGAGCAAAGCACATCATCAGAGCTGCAATCTTCAGCCTTGCACTGAGTCAAGTCTGTGCGTGCCCGTATTCCGCAAGCTTCTTGATATGCCGCCTTTGCTCATTTCAGCTTACTCCATTCCTTAGCAGCCCTGGATTGCGGCAAACATGCTGCAAGTCTATGCAGCAGCTTCTGGTGACTTGCTGGCAGCGGTTCCGGTGCTAGAACTGGATCAAAATGCGCCCTTTAGGTCGCTCAAGAAGTGGCTGCAGAGACATCACGGCCTTCCAGAGTTCATGTGCCAGTTGCTCGAGCTTGTGGTTTCTGAGTTTTGTGTTCGTTTGTTTGTTATCACCAGTAAACGGAAGGACAAATCGACAAGGTTTTTTTCATTATCCAGCCCCAAGGCTTGTGCATGGCACTGGCTCCAAAGCCGTGCAATTGCAGGCTGATGCCGAGCTGCGAAGTCTTGTCAGTGCTGAGGTGAATGTAGAGCTGGACCTCCTTCTTCTGCCTCATCCCCCTGATGGACAACCCTTCTCATCTAAGCAAAAAGGCGAGGCCCTTCACTGCCTCTGTGCCTTTGAAAGGCTACAAGCTGCACGCGCCTTAATACAGGGTAGTGCCAACCCGGACTTCCGGCTCAGTCGCCTCACACCTTTAGACGTGGCCCTCAACAACAGTCGGTGGGAAGTCGTTCGAGTGCTGCTGGAGGGCGGTGCTAGCAAAGTGCGAGATGTGGAGCTGGGTCCCAACATCAACAAGGAATTGGATGGTATGACCCCGCTCTTCAAGGCATCAAAGACGAATGATGTGCAGATGTTGCGCCTCCTTCTGATGGCCAGAGCAGATACGAACAAGCCTTGTGGTATCGACTATGACACGCCGCTTGGAATCGCCTGCAGCCAAGGCTTTGCCAAGAGCGCAGCCATGCTGCTTGAGGTCGGGGCTTCCATTGCCAAGCCTTTTGGAAGCGAGCCGCTGCTTCGAGCATGCCGAGAGGGCCACACGAACGTGGTGAGCCTCCTACTACAGCATAGAGCGGACAAGGACCAGGTCTTTCGACCAGTAGGTTGTACACCATTGAGTGTTGCTTGTGAATATGCCCGTGTTCAAGTCGTCCAGCTACTGTTGGAACGCCGTGCCAATCCTCGCAAAGTTTTCAATGAACGTGAACCTGGTCCTCTATATATGGCATGTCAGACCGGCAACCGAGAAATTGTAGAACTACTTCTCCAAGCTGGTGTGTGCACGGACCAGGCTTGTGGCTTTGACCTTGATGTCCCTCTCCAAGTCGCATCTCGACAGGGCCACCACGAGGTTGTGGAGCTGTTGCAGCAGGCGAACGCGAGCTCGGACATTGTTGGCCCTGCGTCATAGACGGGTCTGACATGTACAGAAGTCCGCCCTCTGTATGTGCTACTGACATCCAGCGTACAGTGTACAGATTTTCCTGAGAATATGCGTGAAGATGCCCCGATTGCGGAGTGCCTAGATGGGTTTGCTATCGTTCCTCTCAAATCTTCCCAATGCGCATACTATAATATCTTGGGATTCTTTGAGATAAGGAGGGTGGGGGGTTTTATTGATAGTATGGGAAGTTGATTGCCCTTTCCCACAGTCGCATGGAAGCTGGGAAGGGCTCCTATACAGACTATGGGGCCGTTGAAGGTTTAAGGTTTAGGGTGTAGGGGTTCAGTCCAAGGGGGTAGCAAATGGTGCGGAACTTTGAGTGTCTTGAGAATGAGCTCTTGGCACTTATAGGACCCTGTCTGGCTCAGGTTTCCGAAGTTCAGAAAGATCTACTGGATGTGCCACCAAGAGTCCCTCCTAACCGTTTAATCCTGTTGGTGATGTTGGGTTGGGGAAAGGTGGAGCAGACATCCCAAGAGTTGAATTCAAGGTCGTCTACACATCACTCCTCCAGGCCAGGGACGAGCATGTGCCGGGCGTTCTTTGCATGCTGGGACTGCTGTTGAAAGCGAGTTCTTGCATTTGATTTTTGCAAGTTCTTTTGAGAAGCGGCCACTACTGCATCAGCTCCCAAACATACCTAAACATCAGAGCCAAATGTCAAAGCGCACTAGCCCTGTGACCCCAACCCCGAAACCTGAAAACGCCACATGTCAAATCCTTCCTTGTACAGGAGGATTTGCGAGCGAGCCTCTACCAGCGCAGGCAGATGTTTTGGATATCAACGTCTTAGATTTTTCCGGTGGCTTCATTTCGAGCGGAATGATTGAGATCCTGCACGGTGTTAGAGTTCTTGTAGGTCTCTGCACTTCACAGATCCCCCCGCACGCTGCAGTGAAAAAGGATGTCCCTGCTCTTGCAGGATGCATGGCGTTCCTGGTTTTTCTTTTATGGAGCGCTTGGGCTTAGTTCCTTCTGATTGTACGAGGGGAGAAATTCTGTTGGAGAGCCATCCTGTTGCTCCAGCAAGTCTAGGAGCTTGACAGCAATCACAGCATGGACATTACTGATCGTGTTTAGAAGGAGCGACATGATCAACGTCTTGGGGTCTTACACTTGCTGCAGGTGGAGGTATGGCTGCGTGCCCCAGCGCAATTATTGGGTTCGGGGGCTTCGTGACTTGAGGTGCAGTTTTGAGAGTACAGGCGCCCCTCAAGATGGGGAAAAATAGCCTTCTCAGAACTTACTCATGGGCCGTGCGGCAGTCCTTTCTTTCATTAATGTCGCGGTCCGTTTGTTTCGGTTCGGGCAGAAATAATTTGAACCGGTCTTGGCTCGTTTTGTTTCAGTTCCTCACGGAAGCAATCGCGTGCACCAAACCACTCCTTGTGCTAGATGCGCGCACCCCATGCGCACCCTGACACCAATCCCCATCCCCTGGGCATTGTGGCCGATGCACAGGGGCCTGCCGAACCCTCATGCAAGCCGCTCCCCCGGCACCCCACCCCTGAGCCCGAACCCTACTAAATGTAACGCTACTAAGTTTCTGAGACATGTCGCTGAAGGTAACGGAAACTCGATTTTTTTGTGCAAATGCCAGATTTTCCGGGGCCCAGGGCCAAAAAAATACACCACACCTGAATGGCGGGCGCTGGAAGGGGTAGTGGAAGGGTGTTCCGATCTAAACGCCCAACGCGTCTGGCCTCGGCGGATTCAACATTTAGAGTTATGAGGTTCAGAAAGAAAGGTTTTGGGGCAGTTTAGGGCTTGCCATCTTTGCCAGAACTAGCGGCTAGTTGTGCTGCCAGCATGAGTCAACAAGTGTTTTTGCCTGTAAGAACAGCTACTCCAAAGGTCCTCTAAGGAAAGAGACTGCTGGAAGTGTGAGCCCTGAGCCCTTGCAAGCCCTTAGCCCTAAACCCAGCAGGAGGACCAGCATGAGTTGGGAGCGAGCCATCCCATTTGTATCATTCTTGTGTAGTTTAGAGGAAGTCAAGGGGGATCCACTTTCTAAGCCATTTGACAGGTGCCATGCGACACCTCAAAGTGGGTTCAAGGTTTTGGGTGCGGTTCTCAAGATTCATGTTCTTTAGAGTCTTTGGGGATGCGTTGCTTGTTTGAGGCATGCGGGGCGATGATGAAGATCAGAGCCTGCTTTGATGCACACGGTGTAATGTTATAAGGCGCTGTAGAATTCTTCGTCGGATGGTTCTTGAGTTGCTGCTGTCTCTTGGTGCGGCGGACGCTCCTCGAGCGTTCGTCTTCATTTGTAGCTCGAGAAGGTTAGGTTGGCTACCGTCAAGTTTCTTGTTTCTTGCATGCAGCACCAGCATTCAACATTGTGATCATCCGCCAGCATGCCAGTGACTTGTAGCTGCAGCTGCTGACATCATCCGAACTTTTGGCAAGGCCCCGGCCCCTTGCTCCTGTAAGATTCCTCAAAGCATTCTGCAGGCAGCCTCAGTAGTAAATGCCATTTCGGACCTGCAATAGTTTTGAGGTCACTTGCACATCTGCACGCGGAAACCTTCTGGCCCAAGCCGAAGCACCCTGTCAAGAAGCTCTGAGGTATGTGCCGCTGCCGTTTGCGGCGTCTGCTGCGCAGCGCTGGCGGCAGCAGTGCGACTCAGGCACCGAGAGGCCAGGTGAGTCAGGTGAGGGAGATGGAAGGTTTTCCAGTCTCACGGGATTAGGCGTTGCAAGAGTGATGGTGAAGATCAGCAAAACAAATATCCAACCTAATGCAGAAAGAGTGGTCAAGGAAATGGTAATGACTCAGGCAAATATGAGAAGCTTGTAAGGAGAAGCAGTCTCATGGCATTCTGCCCGGGTAACTGGGCAGGCCGCTTCAGGACAGCCTTGAAGACGGAAAGCTTGTTCCCCTGAGTCTGGAAGCCAAGACGTTCAGGCAATGCTTGAGGATCAGCTGGAGGAGCTCTTCGCACAGCGGTCGCATCGTGCTCGGGCCGATGAGGCTGGCAGCGAGCGAAGCCCATAATTTTGGGAGTTTCATGCTTGGTTCTGGGCTGAAATGTATGGATCCGCAAGTCAGCAAGTCCTTTCAAGAGCAGCGTAAGTGAGCTTTGCCTAAAGGCCTGTAGGGCTGTGCACCTCGCGCTTGGGTGGTGCTGTGTTGAAGTTTAGTGTATGGAGGTTGGTATATGTGCTGTGAAAGTGTTTCTTTGCATTTCTTCTTGAAACATTAGTTGGATGTATTTCCTTACAACACGACGCCACTACTCTCGCAACAAATTGAAGACCATGGCGATCCGTCTACAGGTGGCAGCAACTTGCAGCAAATATACCTGCTCTGCCCTACCGTGCATCTCCTGTTTAGTAAGCTTGCGTGCACACCCCATCTTGCGCCAGTGGCGACTTGGCAGTCGCGGCTTCAACAGTTTTGTTTTTGTTGTTTTTCTCTTCTTGGGCGTAAGATTTTAGTAAGTATCCATACCGGGGCGGGCCTGTTGCAGCGAGAACCGATAAATTAGAGGTCGTGTTCAGACCTCTAAATAACAAGGATTTGAAAATGGTCCCATCCGGATAGACTTCAATTTGACTGTGCTTGATTCCTCCGCTACTCAGAACGTGTCATGGCAGGCCGCTCGGCGAACGTTAGCTGACTTGCCCTCGAATTCCTCAGGCCGTATCGTGACATCAGAATACGAGCCATGATCCAATCAATGGTGCTGCTAGGGGTAGTTGTATGGTGCCTTGGACGGTTCCTCATCTTTGGTTCAGTGGCTTGACGAACCATTTGTGAAACGTAGCCAGTTGTTCACATCCACCTCGCCGAATACTTAGCTTGAGGTCCGATGTTCACTTGCTCAAAGCACGCAAGCCAACAACAAGGTTTCTGATTCTGAGGACACCAGCGTAAGGGATGACACCGGAACCTCCACATTCCTGAAAACTACTTTATAAAGTCTGCAGCTTCGAAACTTGAACTGGCCCTTGCACTTGGTTTCAGATCTTGAGCTCCGCAACTTGAGTCCTTGGGTCAAATCTGTCTACAGTGCCATGTGCATGTCCCTTGACTGTGAAAATGTAGAAGGACGCCTGGGCACGTGATGTTGTGATGAACCGTACTTCTCAACCCTTAAGCACTTCTTGAGTCAGAAGACAACCTCAGCATTTGACAAAACTGCAGGCACTTGAAGCAATGGTCAGTGAAATCCAAGAATACAAGCAACCTCCTACCCGCAAGAACTTAAGTTAACGCTTACTTTCAGGCATGCCCACTTAGTAGAAGCGCTTTGCCAGGGTTGCTTACGCGGACAAGTCTTCGTCAGGACGGGACGTTTGTTTGGCCGCTACTTGTTTTTGGCACACATCCTTGTTGCTGACATGAGGGGGTCAGAACGTGTTGCAACAATTCGCAACAGATATTTGGCCGGAGCACCTCCTCTTGATTGCTGAAGGTGTGGCTCGTAACGCTGACTTCCAAGTTACTTTGCACTTTCTCTGGGAGCCGAGGGTCCCTGATGTAAGATCGAAGAAGGTTCCGCAAAGCTTCTGGATGCCTTCAGAAAGCTTATGGCAAGTCCTGGAGTAGCATTTCTAGAGTTTCAGGACGAAGACCAGCTGGGGAAGCAGCTCTGGAGAGATCTCTCACCTGGTTCTGGCTTTCTAAGGCAATGCGTGGACACCCAAACATGCCCCCAGACACTCTTTAATTTTAACCTAGCTTCCCAAGCAGGATCCAGATGTTCTACTTTCGGCATAACTCTAGAAGCCTTCTTTGAACTAGGAGAGGCGCCGCTGCTGTGTTGCAATGCGTTGCAGATTCATTCTAAGTTTACGCTGAAGGTCTCCGGCACAGAAACAGGAAAGGAAGAAGTTGATGTTCCAGCGTGAATCGAGTTTGTGACAGCCCAAATGCAACAAGGTATCATTGTTGGGGAAACTTGCCACGTGACAGCCTAATGACTCCCAAATAACAACATCATCGCTCTTAGATAAGAGGCTATTATTCACAATTATCCGAACCCACTTGATGACAAAACATGCCAAACACATGAACAAAAAGTTGTTCATTGATGTACAAGCTTTCCTTGGAAATTGTTATGTTTCTAGCTCACGCCAGGCTTTTAGTTAGGTCAATGACTGCAAAGCGCCGGGAGGCCGTTCTCTAATCCCAACGCCAGCTGGACTCCTCTGCTCCGACACTTGGACCACACGAGTTCTGAGAGTGGAAGCAGATGTGCTTCTTTTTGGGATGTTAGTACTTCTGTGTTGCCTGCGTTAGTTCTGTGCGACATGTCTTGAGTTGTATTGTGAGGGGTATTTGGGGAAAGCGCATGTGTCCAAGGTGCCTGGGATGACTTCAAGCAACGAGGCTCGGAGCTGTTCGTTTTGGTCTCGCCCCTTGGATGCACTCCGCCAATCGGTCTGCATTGCATAGGTGCATCTAAGCAAGCCTGATTGGTTTCCAACGGTATATTGGCCCAGCAACAGAGCTAGTAGAAACCTAATGCGCAACAGCGATTTATCTGTCTCATTCTCACTCAGGCATTGGTGTTACCTTGACCACTGTGTGTGACAAGTGCTCACTTTTGCCAGCCTCTTTGGACCCCTGCTCTGCCTGAGGATCTTCCTTAGCACTGCTGGTTTGAGTCAGCTCTTTCCATTCCTCAACACAGTCCAGGCGGGTCGGGCTGCTGTGTTGGCCTTTTGTGGCCTTGCTGCTGGACTCCCCAATGTTCACGAAAGTAAAAAGACGTCGTCTTGGGCTGGCATGTCAAGGGTGTGAGTCATTTTGGAAACTCTGCTGTACATAGCGCATCACAGCGCAATATTGTTGCACGTTGCATGCCCCAAGCACCATTCTTAAAGAGACTTTGTGAACATCCTCGGAATTCATGGATGGACGGTAGTAGGCAGTTGTGGGGCCGCGGCGCATCAACGCCAAGCGCTTGTGTGTAGACTCTAACCGCCTACGAAAGCTAGAATTCTGAAGTTGCGCTGTGTGGCTTTGTCCTCAGGGCTTCCCGTGGCCGAGCCGGTTCAGCTGGCATTTCGACAGCAGTGGGAGTTTCTACTTGTGAAGCTTTGGCGTTGTGGCTGTTAAATTTGCGGTTCTAGACTTGCAAGGTTTTTGTTCTAAGCTGATTGCAGAAGCCAAGGAGTCGGCAGTCACAGTTTCTTTTGTCCGCCGTTTCAAGTTGTAGGACTTGGATGTTTGGGGTTGGATGCTGTCGTGATCTTTCGTGCATACCGCATGTGTGGAGGCTCTCGTACTGTGTCCATGAAAGCTGTCGCCAGCTGACTGCCAGCCGCGAAAATGTGAATTTCCGCGCCTAGCTCGTGACAGGAATGCCCCAGGCCCAATGAGGCAGGCTTCTCTCCGGAAACTGCCAGTCTTTGAGTGCACCCTCAGGTTCTGGGATTTCTTGTCCTGGCTGCTCCACGTGGATTTCAACGGCCGGGAGGGTATAGCGAAATCTGATCCAATGTGGTTTTCAGCAAGCTCTAGGGATCTTTTCCGGGAGTCCTGCCCATAGGGAGTGCGTGGGGCTGTAGTTTTGCGAGCTGCCAAATGATACTCGTTTCCAAACTCTGTGGGTCCAATAAAGATTATGAAAGCTGATTTTTCTTTCGAAGCCCTTTGTCGCACTTTCTTGAGAGCTCACGATGGTGTGTAGCAGATGTGCTAATGTCGGTGGTTGCAGCATTGAACCCGCAATTCCATTTTCCCATTTTCTGTCTTCGTGTGCATGCGCCTCAATATTCTCATTCCCACTACTAGGGCATTTAACATGTTTCCAGATGTGCAGGACCTAAGTGGAAACCACCCGTGAAGGGGGAGACAATGGGAAATGCTTCCTTTCTGCAGCAACTGGGCCAGCAGATGAAGGTAAAAAGGACGTCGGGTTGAGGCTGTGCAATTCATAGTGTCTTTTGGCGGTGGATTTTGTTCCTGTGAGGTTATCATCCAACCACTAGTACAATCATCAGGACAGCGGCAGCAGACCAGCTTCTCACCCGAATGAAGCCGCCAAAGCACTTCATTCGAGGATGCTTGGTTGACCCCTCCGGATGCCAGCATGACTGTCAAGATTCACCTGATATCTGCGAATTATCCTGACTGGAGTCCACTCGTATAAACACCATCCAAAACATCTGCGCGATAGCCTTAGGGGCCATGGGCCACGACGTATGTCTTGATTACTTTATCGCAGTGTGTCCTTCCCCCTACTGCACACAGGCTCAATCCTGGACTGAGCATAGCTGGCGAGCAACATTGGTCATTTATTGCTGCAAAGGGATGAGGGTCATGTCCTAAAGTATGGCTAGCCCATTCAGATGTGCCCAACAGAGAGTCATGAACTTGTTGCGGGTTGCGATGATTCTTTTCCAGGACTCTCATTGCTCCTACTGCTACTAGTGCTTCTTTTCTCAGCTAGTGTTCTAGTCCATCTGAACCATCGATTGTAATTACTGTTTTCTCCTTAGCAGTAACTTCGCAAAATCCTGTTAAGATCGTCGCCAGCATGAAGCTTTGTTCTGCTAGCCCGGTATAGGTGTGTACAAATAAAATGCGTTTGTACCCTAGTAGATAGTACAAGCAATTGTGAGCAAACTTGCTGCAGAAACAATTGCCAACTCCAGAGATTACAGAGTGAAGGTCCCTTCAAGTTTCGCAACAAAGGGAATGGCCTTCAAAGCACAAGCCCTCGAGTCATACGCAACATACCCACGACTGACTTCACGCACAGAACCCCAAGTTCTACAGTGTGAACCCCTCAGAGCCAGGTGCCACAGCTTGTACGCAGCCCGTGTCTTCAGAAGTCTCCCAGGTTTGCCAAGGAAAAGTGGGACGTGACGCTGCCGAGCTACTTCGATGATTACATCACTGGAGAGCGCATCCCGTCCTGGGAGGCGGCTTTGCAGAGTGTTTTCTGGTGAGCTTCAGGGGGCTTGCGGACAGAGATGCTGGTGGCCGTGACTGGGTCAAGAGACCAACGTGGTGCGGGTTTTCAATTTGCTTCCAATCATCATGTTTTCGCTGATTTCCAGTCTGGACTTCCGTGTGTGGTCTCTAACTTGTTCTTCACATTGCTTGTGTTCGGAAGCTCTTCTTCCCTCCTCCACTTTTGTCCCAGCCTAGGCCGGCGTGAATAGGTAGGGCCAATACTGAGGTACTCCTTCTATGCCAGGTTGAACTTGTTCGTTCCCAGCAAGAGATAGATTGTCCCAATGAGCTATCCACCTCCAAGCGGCAATCAGCACTCAATTCTTTTGGACCTGAAATTTGCGGCCAAGTGATGCTCCTGCAGCAGAAGCAATGCGATTTGCACGTTGTTGTCCTGTCATCCGACATCTAGGACAACCTCCGACATGCCACCGCCATCAAGATCATCGACTTAGCCATAGGCTCGATGCGGGCATTTGGCTTCGAGCCGATGCATGGTGAAAGTTTCAGCTTTGCCTAGCATGGGTGGTTTTAGGGTCTGTGCATTGAGGGGTTTGTATGGTTTGTGCCTGCTTGAGTTTTGTGGAGCTAGAAGCAGGCACGATGAAAACCAGCTTGGGCCCTTGCGGGACACATGTCCATGAAGGATTGCGTAGGAATTTGCTAGACTGAGTCCACTCAGAGCATTTCCAAAGTCCATGCGGGTGACTAAGCGGATGTCTTCAGCTGCAGTTCTTCAGCCTCATCTAAGGTTGAAATCTGGGCAGTGTTTTCTTGAAGCCAATTCAACACCGCTGCAAGCCTGTACGCCCACCAAGGATCGAGATGCTCCACGGCACTGAACCTCGATTTGCCTTTGACTCCGAGGGTCTTACTGAGCTTGCGTGGCCCGCTGCTAAGCTGGCTCCTTCTTGAGAACAGCTGATTGCAGCCACGCACCAAGACATGCTCCTCCTTGCTTGGGCCCAGGCGCGGGTTTCACTGGTTCGGACCGACGGACATCAAGTATGCCTCCAATGGCGTGATTTGTCTTTCAAGCTTTGCCAGTAGGCCAGCATGTAAAAGGCCCAATGCTTCAAGTCAGCGTCTTCCAGACTTGAACTTCAGTGTGCCAACATCAGAACGCTTGAGCACGCGAACTGCATCTTCTAAGGTTTGGGGTATCAAGCTCGTGGAGGATCTCATGGAGAAGTTTGGGACCAATGGTGAAGTTTTAGGTGCCCAGGGCTGGCAAGGTGAGAGAAGCATGAACACACCAGCCAATCGTGGCAGGCCCATTGATGACGGACTCTGCCTTCTCAGCCCACCTTACCCATGACGGGGACTTATATCACATTGACGCTCTGGCAAAGCATTACCTTATGAATCCTTCTGATTTTGACTGTCCTGGGTTTCCGAAAGACAACGGGAAGGCCCTGCTGTGACAACCATCCCGTTGAGGGTGGTGCTTTCTAAATGTCCGAACTGTTGCTGTGGAATTGAAGTGGTTCTTCGTATTGTGGGCCTCGTGAGACACTGGTGCTTATGCCTAGGGACACGAGTTGGAGTTGTGGACTTGCTAAAGCTGTGCAGCTTTTTGTCCGACAAAACCGATCCATGTGAAATCGTTTCTCACGTTTTGGGGCATCTGATGACTTCCAGCATTTGCCAGCTTCCGCAAAAGGACATGTCGGCCCTTGAGCGCTATCAGCCCATTGTGGGCTATGCGCCACTGGGCGGCCGAGCTGCTTTCCGGGCCGAGCACGGGAGGTGCTCAGGAAATAATTCATCGAGTGGTCCGCTGGTGATAGAGCAGGTACAGTACGCAGAGAAGATTTCCGGTTTCAGATCACGAATTCGAATTTTTCTGCAACGGCGAAGACATCCTGGTCCTAGTTGGCTAGTTCTGAGATGTTCTGAGGTTCTCCTAGGACTGTACGGCATCCTTGGCAGCTACAATGCTCAAGCCTGGAAGTTGACTTGAGGGCCCCTTTCTCCTGAAAGCTGATTCCAGCGTCTACAACTTGCGCAGAGCATGGATCAGCAAGAGACGTGTTGCCAAAAGGTATGTGACAAAGCAAGCGAGTGCTATGATGACGTGAGAAGGAGGACGAGCCAGCTCTCGTGCTTTCACACGTGTTTGCTTTGCAGCTGTTATTTATCTCTTTGCCTTGGTTTTGCGCTGTGGTCGGCCGGTCAGGGCGTTGCGCTGTGCGCAAGGACCTTGGATCAGTTCATTGCCCCGGGAGAGTTGCCTTTTGATAGCCCTGAGTCCTTTCACACCCGGCTGCACAACCACACAGCGATGCCGCAGAGCTGCACGTTTGTGGTGCCCAGGGATGCAGTAGAAAATGTTTCTGTAGCTGAAGAATCCTTGGCCTGGTGTCGAGCCAGCCTGGGACCGGGGGCTGGGATCGTCTTTGCTTTCAGCCCTCTGCATTGGAAATACATCCAACAAGCAGGCTTTACTGTGCAGACCAGCTTCAAGATGTGCTGGAAGGTGGAGACGGCCGCGTGGGCACTGGGCTGGTGCCCAGCAGACTGGCAGATGTATCTGATAGTGTCCTTATACGGTAGCGTCAGTGGTCTCGCGTTCCTCCATTTCCTCAAAAAAAATGTTGAGGAGGATTCATCGTCGGACGACTCCGAATCGGACAACTTGCAAAGGTGCACTGCTCCAGATGACGAAGGTTTTGTGGAAGGGGGGCCTTTCTTCTCGACAAGGAGGTACAGAGCACCATTTTGCTGCTTTAGCATAAGCTCTGACTATGAGGGTGCTAAGTGCCAACTTCGTCTTTCAGCCTTTTTCATGCTCTTTGAGCCCGCTCTTGACATTCTGTCGGTGCTCATGTTCCTGCGCCGGGGTCAGCCAATCTATGCAGCTGTGGTTGGCACATCGGTTGTCTTCTCCTGCCTCTTGGTTTGCGATTTGTTCCAGGTCCGAGGCGTGGCAGCCATGGCGCAAAGCTTGGGGCGGGGCTTCGCCACTGGAGACTTGTACTGCTATCGTGTGATGGAACTGGTTGAGAGTTTTGGATCCACGCTTGTGCAATGCTATGCAGCCCTTCGAATGGACCTGTCATGGGCCTCCGTGTCTGCTGTGTGCACGCTGCTGGGAAGTGCAGGTATCAGCCTCACGGTCTCCATGCCGGACGCTTGCAGGGCAGCACTTGTGCTCTTCAAAACCGGTGCTCGCAATGATTATTATCAGCAGGAGAGAGTCAAAGCCGAAGTGAATGTTCTACAGAGGTACTGGCCTTCTGTGCTGTGCATGGCCATCGCCGAGTTGGCCCTCATTGTGGGAAGACGCAATGATGGCCAGCTTTCCTCTCCATGGGCTGTGCTGCTTGCAGCCCCTGCAAGTTCTTGGGACTCTTTCCTATCTGCCCTCTTGCTCCTTGGCTTCCGCATCGCCGTCCTGAGCGCGCTTGTGATCTCTGTCATTGCCTTTTGCCTGGGATGTGTCTTCTTGCTGCTTGCTGCTGACTTCATGGATGAGTGGAGGTTGAAAGCCGTGGAAAGGAGACCAACGCGTTTAAGGCTGCATGCCTCATTCACCCCTTAGCCCTTAAGGTGCACTGAAATTTTGCCCTTAATATCTGCCATGCCTGATTCGGCCAATTCACTTGAGGTGTTCGGTTTGCGGTCAAGGAATCTGGAAACCAGGCTTTGAACTCAGGATGTGGCTGAGTCGATGGACCCCAACATTGGCATGTTTTGCCAAGGATATATTAACTGGCAACAAAAAATACAGAAGGCAAACGAGACGTCAGGTAGTGGAGCATTTGAATATGGTATAGCGTCAGACGAGAGAGCGGAAAACCATGGTGAATGAACAGCACGCAGCAAAAATTCTCAGAGGCTCAGTCATGGACCAGACAGGGTTGATATTTTCAAAAGTGCGATCTGGAACTCCAAACCTCCTCAATGCATATAAATACCTTTGAGAGCTCTGCGAAACAACTTGGACGTTCCCTCGTCCTTCATCTTCCCGACTACAATCCACTAAACCATAGACCCACGCGAAAACACCCAACTTCAGATGCATAGACCCATCCTTGCAGCAGCAGCAGCATCATCATCATCATCATCATCATCATATCGCGTGGATTGGGGGAGGGTTTAGATACGAAGGTGGCCGAAACGTAAAAAGTGGATCTGCATCTGCAGGTGGAAACCTTTAAGGCTTTGGATCTGGAGGATCTTTGCGCCAAGAGATGAAAATCCAAACAAGGGCGAGCTTTGCCATGGGGTTCATGGCTTCGGTGTTCACGATTTACCTCCACATGTAGCATCTTCCGGGGCATCTCTGCTTCTAGAGAGGTTGATTTAGGTGTTGCATCTGAGAGGACTACGCTGTCCAGGGGATTGCTAAGATTTTTTTGGCACATTGGCCATGCACCCCTCTGGTCAGGCTGAAAACCGTGTTCATGTCTTACAACGGCAGCAACTACACAAACTTTGAGGCGCCTTTGGAGTCTTCATGTCTTGACCATGCCTGAGGAATGGATGCGAGATTCAGCTCTTCCTCTAAGTTCCGGTCTCTGCTTCAAGCAGTTCTGTGTACTTCCGCGTTGCACTTGACTCCTGAGTCCAGAGCCTACAGTACAACAGATTCTCTTCCAAGGTTTTCTTCATCGGATTCTATGTAGCCGAGGTTTACTCCATGGATAGGTGTTTTTTCGTTCCTCTTGGATTTTTTCCATCACTTTTCGGGCTTCGTCCAAGCAACACAGAAGAGAGGACCCGAAGTCTGACGAGATGTATGCCAAGTCAATCCGACATGGCTGGCGGATGGCTGAGGCGATTTGGCGGAGATGCGAGTGATCGGAGCAGTTCTGAACCATGTCATGCCGTACGGAGAGCAGTTTGATAGGGGCCCTGTACAAGGGCCTCAGACAGCACAAGTCCGATCCCGCAAGATGTTTCAGGCCTCCCAGCCTCTGGGAAGAATCACCTATTTGTAGAACTAGACTCCAAACAATTGGCTTGTCTATCTGCAGTTCAGAGTTCATTTGTTGAAAAAGGTCTACAATCTTTTCCCACAGTCTTGCTTGAGGAACCAGAGTCTTCCAGCAGTTTCCTGTAAATGCATAAAGTAGTCATTGCCAAAGTCAAGTGTTCAGCGCATCCAATTCCTGTAAAGGCTGAGGCCCCTGTTGTGCGCAGCCAGTTATAGTCCTTTGGTTGGGGAACTGTCTCAACTTGTAGATAGCCGATTAGTTGTTTAGCCAGCTGGGAAGACGAACAACGTCTCACTGTGGAGGCCTCCATCATCGCTTCCCTGCTCTCCATGACCAACTTGATCCTACACGCCCCCTTGGCTTGACAAGGGGGTATCTTGCATGTAGGACCCCTTCCTTAAAGTGAAGCAACACTGGTCCCCAGATCACAGTCTGTGTAGAGAAGCTTCAACCTCCTGGCTGTATAGGTGTGGCACAGAAGGCACCAGGATGCTACTCCGAGGAACCGGTATATTTGTCTTGGTGCATACTGTGACTCGTACGCAGAACAATCCAACCCGAGGCCAATATTAGGGATTATTATGGAACGAGCAGTGCAAATTCCTCAGGAAGCATGTTGGGGGCATGGCCTTGTTGGATGGTCGCCCACATGTCTGCCATGTTTTTGTCTTTCAGCTCAGACATGTATCCGGTCTGTTGGAAAGATAGGCAACTGTCGGCTTTGGTGGCAGAGCTAGAAAAGAAGCAAGATGGCTGGTATGGGACTGAAGCAAGATCCACGACCCGCGTGAGCGGCACCTAGAAATTTGTTTTGAGAAAAACATGCGCTGCGAGTTGTCCTCAATGCAGGAAATTCTGCCACTGTTCGTGGGTGTCCAGACACAACTTACAAACAGCTTACAAGTGCCGACTTAAAACAGAGCCCTGCAGGGGCAGGTAAAAAGCTGCTTGCAGTTAAAGCGTAGCTTTTCATTCCATGGTAACAGATCCTGCATCATCTCGCTTTGACACTGCGCGCATGGCTCAACCTGCCCAGCTCCAGGCATGGGCACCTTAGGTCAAGGATCTCCATCTTGAGCTGTCGGCCAGCTTTCAGGCGCAGGGCGAACGGGAACTAGGCTTGCTCTTTGTTGGGACCTGGGCTGAGGTGAAGTTTCAGAGGTCTCACAGATGTTCTAGTGTTGGAAAGCTTTGTAGAGCTTGGCCTTGACATGCCATGACAACTGGCAATGCTTTGCAGTCGGTATTGCTGTGCAATCAACGAAGCAGCGGCAACTGAGCGCATGATCCAGGTTGAACTCCATCTGTCTCATGCTGTATTTGTAAACATCGATCCCACTGCAACTCTTGTAGCATTATGATATGTGCCGCAAGTGCTTTTATGACCGTACGTCCTTTCAATTGCATTTGGCTGTCATGCTGTCGGTGTGCTTGCTCTGCCTGACAGGTGATCACGGTCAATGCCTTTGCTGAGAATCCGACGCATCTTGGACAGTACAGCCATTAGGAACCAACTTAGCAGCAGTAGTAGTAGTAGTAGTAGGAGTAGTAGTAGTAGTAGTAGTAATCGTAGGAGGAGGAGTAGGAGTAGGAGTAGGAGTAGGAGTAGGAGTATGAATACGTCGTATATTTGACGCTGCATTTTCTCACCTCACCATCGTTTTACAGTGTGTTTGGCCGCGTTTACAGAAAAGTCGCTGAGCGGCCCCTTCATTGATCTGGGAAGCTGCCTTCTTCACATGACCCACGCTTGACTGAATCTTGCGTTCTTGCACGTTTTGACAACAGGCCTTTTTTAGGAGGGGGGTGGGGTGGGGGGAGATAATTATGTCCATTACGACTTCAGGCACAGAAAGCTCGTCGAGACATTGGTCGCAGAGTGTGTGGCCAGTGCAGGACTTTTAGCACTTTGCCCCCGCACAATCTGCACAAGTGCACTTGTTTCCCATGGCCCGATTTGTCATTGAAGCCGAAAATGCAAGAACAAAACAGTGGTTGGCCGCTCCCCCAATTTTCACTTCTCAACATCTACGTTTTTTGAAACAGTGCTGAATGTCCTGCGCTGGCCCCACAGTTTCAATCACCTTTTTTGAAGCTACTCGCACAAACAATAGCGTCAAATGAGCGATGTCGACCTAGTAGTTGTGGTAGTAGTAGTAGTAATAATAATAGTAGTAGTCGTCGTCTACGCGCCTTTCATCAATCGTGGGTCCAAATGCCTCTGTCAGGGTGGGGGGGTTGGTGGGGGGCGGGTGAAAAATGTTTTTTCATGTTCGAAATTGCAGACATTCAGATGCAGTCTAGATTCGCTGGAAGCCGTGTTGATGACCAAGTGTAGAGCAGTGCCTGGGCGATGCCATGGCAAGCAGAAACGGCGTTATTGCCGGAAACAGAAAGATTCCTGCGGCTGGCGCAGATTGACGCAGACAGGCCACCGCTCTTGCTGGGGCAGGAAGCGCATCGACATGTCCCTATTCCGTACCGTGCCCAGCCCGTAGCCATCAAGGCGTGGTACCATATTCTCATTCCAGCGCAACAGGCAAAGATAAACATGAAAAAAGAATCCAGATCTTTGCTCTGCAAAAATGGTCAACAAAACCTCCCACTGCTACTTGTGGGCTTGCCGACGCGTAAAACGCGCAAAAAGTAGTCACTAGTTTCGACGCTCATGAAGTCCTTGAATTTACAGCACATCGAGGCCTCTTCACGCACTGGGTTGCAACTTCCGAAGCCGCAGAAGAAGGATCGATTATCATCCTGGTGCATCAATTCACAAGTTTCCCCGTTTTGTTAAACCAATCTGTTCACAGCATCAACGTGTCAACACCCACGAAGTATTGTAAAGTGCAGTACTTTTGCAACTTTGCGCAACCTATCCACAACAAAAAACACGCGATCAATTAGCATCGTGACGCCTAGTAGTAGTAGTAGTAGTAGGAGTAGTAGTGGTAGTAGTAGTAGTAGTAGTAGTTGTTGTTGTTGTTGTTGTAGTACTAGTGGTGGTTTTGATCTGAGTCATTGTCGTCATTATGGGTTGCCATAGGCAGCAATATGATGCTGCTGGTGAATACCGCATCATGGGGAATGCTTCCACGGAGGCACCCCATCCGCCGTATGCTGGATCCCTTCATCAGCCGCAGCGTGCAATCGACGAACGAGAACTTCAAATTGCTCTTCGTGGCTGGGTTTGGGTTACTGAAGCAGTCCGAATTTTAGGCTATGATTCACATTTACCATGCTCTGGATGGACCTGGTTGGGATTATGCTTCTTTCCTGTGATTTCTCCAGCTTACATAGTGCAAAGCCTTCAACCCTTACAGTCGAGTCCAAAACCCTCAACTTCGCACAGTTGTGAGAGACACATCAAACTTAAGTCTTCATGTAGGTAAATGCTAACAGGTAAGTCAGCAAATCAGCAATGAATGTTGGGTTGACTACTGGGGAGGGGGGTGATTAGGGTAGGTAGAAGTGGAGTAGCAATTCAATAAACCGCAACGCACATTTGAATCTTTGCCAAGAATCAAAATCAACGCAAGAACACCGAGGAGTACAAAGCCGCTGACTTCACATTGGCGCCGCTTCCCACCTCCGAACAGCTGAGGCTCCTCCGAGACTTCATGGTAGCTCGCTCCAGTTTGGTTTGGTTTTGGTTTGAGTTAGTGGAAGGAATCTAGGCGTGGCTTATATGGGATTTGGTTTAATGGGTTTGGATGGTGCAGTTCTCATGACTTTCCGGGTTTATGATGTCACTAGATTCAGAGGGTCCGCATACCGCATACCCTTCTGCATGGCACCATAAAAATGGCCTTCCAGCTTGATCTGTGCTCCAGGATTGCTGACTTGTTCAAAGGTCCGGAGAGAAGCCTGGAAAACCTGGATGCTGGAAGAACAGCCAGTTTAATTAGGTGTTTGGGTAAAGGCTGTGCCAACCAAATGCACCACCACTTGCTTCTATTGTCTCGCAGCAAGCACGGACTTTATTGCCCAAGCTTTCCGTGTTGCTCTTTTCCGCGAGTGCTTCCTAAGCAGCATGTTTCTGTTCTCAAGATGTCTTACTTGGCATGCTCGTGATTCTATGTCTTGAATTGTGATAGGCGATTGTAGAAGAGATGGCAAATGACATGAAGGTCATTGAGAAGTGGATGTGGAGAAACAGGCCGGAGCAGTGTTGTTATTATGCTTATTGTCTGGGAGCATGGCTTCCAAGGAGAGCAAGCCTCTGAATTTGGCTGACATGGACATGACGCGCTACGGCAAGCTTCGGGGTATGAACGCCAGCGTGTCCTCGAAGGAGGCCTGAGACTTGGGGTTCTTGGGACGTTGCTGGGAGTCTAAAGTTGCAGCACGTGTGTGCTCTACTGTAGTTCAAACTCACAACATGCCGGAGCGGGCGTAGAGAGAGAGAGAGAGCGAGAGAGAAAAGCAAGAAAGCCCTTGCGATTGAGACCTTGCTGGGAACTTGACCGTCTTAAGATGTATTGCTGGAACCGACATGTGCTTTTGCAACATCTGTACTTGTGTGGATATGGGATGGCTTCTTGATTGTCCTGACTCCAAGAGGCTGTGGAGGACCCGCGCCTTTGGAGCTGGCGATGGCACTACAGAGCCCTCAAGGTGCCCGGCTCTGTGACCGCCACGCGCAGCCACGCATTTAGCTTCTCACAGAACCGCGTGCAGTGTGGCTCGTAATGCCAGTTCTTTGTTTTTGTGTTGCCAGGCTTCTCAGGCGCAAACGGCCGTCTCTCCCCACTGCACTCATTGCATTCTAAGCTGTGGTTCCATTGTAGTGCATGACGCGGAGTCCTGCAAGTTTGGTGCGCCTTGGAAAGTTTTGGCTCCCTCCCCGCTCAGAAACTCCGTTGCAAACATGAGCCAGCCATCTCTAGGGCTGGTGCCGGACTCAATCACAACGAGAGATGAGTACGAGAGCAGCCTTGGCAAATTGACTTTTGTGGACGGCCTCCCAGATGATGCAACGGTCCAGAAGGTGTATGACAATCTTGATCGGTCGCGAGGGGTTAGTGCTTTTCTGGACATGGTGCCGATGGCTTCGCTTGAAGCAATGCGTCGTAATATGGTTGAAGGCGGGGTTGACGCATGCCACAAGTTCATGCTTTTTGAAGGCCTGATGGATTGCCGTTCCCTTTTTCTCACGGGGAACACGGACACCGTGTATGCTATGGCCCTGCTAGATCTCCATAGAGATGGGCCTACGGTGATCGAGATCCCACCCGGAGCTGGGCCGGGTTTGGTGAATGATGCCTTCTTCCGCTATGTGGGGGACATGGGAGCGCCCGGACCCGATCGTGGTGCTGGTGGGAAGTACCTCTATCTCCCGCCAGGCTACGATGGCAGCGCCCCGGATGGCTACTTCGTGCTTACCTCAACAAGCTTTACAAACTGGGTTGCATTGCGAGGCTTCCTTAAGGATGGCAAGCCTGATCACGCTGCGCAGATGTGGAGGGAGGGGCTTAAAATCTATCCTTTATCCAGCGCAAGTAATCCCCCAAAGATGGAGGTGATCGCGTGCACAGGGAAGATTATGAACACCATCCATTCGAACGATTTCGCTTTCTTCGAAGAGCTCAATACCGTTATCCAGTACGAGCCCGTGAGTTTCTTGGATCCTGAGCTCCGGGGGAACTTGAGCGCTATCGGCATCATGAAAGGGCGACCTTTTGAGCCGGACCAGCGGATGAAGGCCTTGCTCACAGAAGCTGCCGCGATCGGAAATGCTACCTCTCGTGCTCTCTCCTTCGCACCACGATCCAAGACTGCTCGCATCTATGACGAGAATAGCGAGTGGGTCACAGCCTTCGATGGTGGCGATTATCGCTGGTTGGTCGAGGATGGCGCTGGTGGCCGGAACGCGGATGCAAGGACTCGTTTTTTCTACTTTGCTACAGGAAACACTCCAGCCATGGTCATGAAGATGGTAGACCGTGGTTCGCAGTATGCGTTAGTGTGCAAGGATGCCAAGCACAGGTACCTGGATGGATCCAAGTGTTACAGCCTCACCCTGCCAGCCAATGTTCCTGCCAAGGATTTTTGGTCAGTGGTTGTGTATGACACCCAGACAAGGTCAATGCTCAAGACTGACCAACTCTTTCCTTGCCGCAACTCACTTTCACACGTTGACATGAAGCAGAATCCGGATGGCTCAACCACGATTTGGTTTGCACCTTCCGCACCCAAGGGCCGGGAAGGAAACTGGATCCAAACCATTGCCGGGAAAATGTGGTGGGGCTGCCTTCGGCTTTATGGCCCTGGGCAGGCCTGGTTCGACCAGACCTGGCGGCCCGGGGAGATCCATGAGGCTGAGGCTTCTGAGGCCGGCTATCCGTGAGCTGTGATATCTATGTCCAAAAGTCTTCATGCGTCTTTTAGCCTTGTGAACAGAGTTCCAGGGCATCAGTTCTCAAGCTGGTTGTAAAGCTTTCACTTTGCAGAAACACAAGCAGAAGTCTTGGTCCAACCTAAAGTGCTGTAAATGCAGCACTGCGCGGACAGAAGCACAGAGATCCACATCATCGGCGCCCCAGTCATACATTTGCAGGATGTGCAAGCATGATGGCATGAGTGGACAGCGAGCATGAGTATACTTGAAGCTCAGGTGCAGAACCTCTACGACGAGCTGCTGCAGTGCTGGCTTGACGTGCACTATCCAGGCCGTAGAAACCGCCGCCGGCGAGCCTTGAACCTACCCCATCACATCCAACAAAACACAATATAACATGCTAAACCCTCACTTCCAGCAGGCGGCGCAGAGGAGCAGGACAGGCAGATCCGCGAGGACTCGCCAGGGTTGCTTGGAAGTCTGGCAAAACTAGGGTTCGGCTTGAGCAGTTGTGTGTTGCTAGCACATGTATCGAATCGGGTCCAAGACCAGTGCCGAGGACCTAGGATTCAGGATTGCGAGGCTTGAGGGACTTCAAGCAATCCAACTACTCCAACAGGAGCCTTGAACTACTCTTACCAGGTCTGGGTTCTGCTGGGTACCCTTGGGACTGCTCTGTCTGGTGCTTCTGTCAATTAATTGAACAACAAGCTCAGTTGTACCGGGTGAAACAGATGTGTTTCGCCACGAGGCTTCCCAATGAGCATGTTTGTGAACACGTTATTGTTGAGGCTGCGTTGTGTTATGTTGTGTTAGTTTTTGAGGTAGTCGGACGGGGGGTAAATTCGATTTGCATAAGACTGTCTAATGCGCTGACGTGCTTCGCTTTTAAAGCATGCTTTGTATTTCTCTGATGTGCAATCATGTGATATCATGCAAATTTGCTTGCCCCATCCAACCTCGTTGGGTTGTGGATTGGAGCCAGGATCCCGACGTCCAGCGCTGGTGGTCTGTCATGGTTAGGCTGTGGGAGCAACAAATCTCTGTCTGGGGCAGGCCCCTCACAAGAAAGTCAGGTCAGGTTCTGAACTCCTTTTGAGCGCGGCCCAGAAGTTGCTTCCACCAACAAACCTTCTCCTGGGGACTTTGAGGTCATTGTTCTTTTCGTTGCTGATTGTTTTACGTGTCGCAGACATCCCTTGCGCTAACTCATCTACACCTGTTATTGGAATATTTGAAACATTTGGAAAGTCTCCTTGCCATGCGATGGGGCAAGGTGGATGTATGATCGAAACCATGCAGATTTCCGATCCTACATTTGAGACACATCAGATAACACAACAGAATCCTATGGAGGTAGCAAAGCAATTCAACAAAGGCTTACACAATATGACGATGGATGATAAGGACGCAATCCTTACCCGTCCCAAACCTGTAACTTGAGATAATGAACCCGAAGTCCGAGATTAAGGTAACAAATCAACAGTCCCAATCTTCCACCCGACGCTCTGGTCTCTGAAGCCCCACCTCCCAAGCCTAATACCGCAGAAACGGCTAGGCAGCTTCAACCTCTGCGTCGAACGCTGGAAACAGCGCCTGACTTCGCCACAGCCACGCCCACTGCAGCAGGCTGCCACAGCGCAATTTCTAAGCTCAGGGCTTTCTAAGTTGTATTGTGGACAAACGAGCTGGTGGGGATTTGGGTTGAGCTTCCAGGTGGATGGAGCCGGAGGTTCAACAGAGTGTTCAGAGACTGCACTTCAGTGTTAAGCGGTTAGTGCGTTCCTGGGGAGCTGTGGGGGAGTTGATCTGCAGCATGTCCGAAAAAAAGGACGTCAGGCTTCTGAAGATGTGAGTGATTTTCTTTGGCTGGTTCAAGGGTGCAAGAGTGGGGTTTGTTCATTTGGGGAATGAATGTTGTGGAGGATTGGCAGGTTTGACTTGCATGACGAACGTGTTTTGGTACTACGGAACCTCAAGCCAGAGAGGCTGCTAATATGAGTAGGGATTGAATGAACCTCATCGCAAGCCGGCTCAGGGAGTCCGTAGCTGCGCCCCTCCTCCTTATCATAGACGGGCTCCAACGTACATTGCCAGAAGCCCGGCACCTCGACATGCGTCCGAAACCTTGCCGACTACAAACTTTCAGCAAGCATGTGCCCACCCTAAAACAACAACCGCTTTCTAGCTTTTGGGCAAGCCAGTGATCAGTTTGCCAGGCCTGCGCCAGACACTGCGAACCATCCTGGTGTGGGTTTCGTGGAACTCTGGATCAAAAGTGAAGTGCTTGTTGTGTTTATCTGATTTCTTCAACTGTTACGCTGTAGCAGCTGGAAGGACTGCGGTGTAGCTTGCACGGATTGCACATCTTCATAGACATGGCAGCAAAATTTACCAGTCAGGATTCATGAAGACGTGGGACATTCCGCAGCCTCCTATGTCTACAACCCGGTGTACACACCCATGTGCGTGTGGGGCTCAGCAGAGGACTGATGCATGTGGTAGGGTCAGAAAGCCGCATCGGTGTGACAGAATTGGGTCTGGGCAAGGTTGCTTTCTAGTTTTGACTCGAACCATGCATTTTGCGAGCATGTCGAACATGTCGAGGACTGTGCGGGCATCGTCTAGTCCAGCAGCTAGAGACTGTGAACCTAAAGCAGCGAGGTGCCTGAGGATGGCTCGGGCGTTCCTGTTCTCTCCTTCGCTTGGACAGTTGAGGGATGGGAAGCAGGCTTTTGGCACGCTGCTACCTCACTCAGCACCGCAACTGCCACGTTCACTATGATGGTTTATCGAAATGTGCTAGAACACCACGAAGCTGAAGTCAGTCAGAGCTACAGGTGTACTGCAGGTACATACATGAAGATTGAATGGGAATGCGCAGCGCGCGTGGCCAACCCTCAGTTTGCAGGAATACAGCTGCTTACCGTGGTTTCGTATTTCTGGAGCGCGCCGCGTTACTGGAGGATGTCGGGTGCTTCAAACAGAGCTCAAGAGTTAATGGGCCATCTGAAGCAGCAGAGGCCTAGTTCTGACTGACTCTGGCAACCAATCCTTCCCACGTGCCACGGACGGTCATATACAAGTCATGGTCCTATGCAAGTCGCCATGATTTTGCCTGAAAACTCCAGTTACAGTTGCCTGAGCAGTTTCGTGCAGTATTTGTTGGCACTCAGAAGGTAGATGAGGGACATGGTTTGTGCCACGTTCTTGTCCACTCTGCACCTGGAGAGGACCCTCCGGGATTCTGGTTTGACTCGGTCGAATGCAAAGGCCTTCTTGTGTGAGAGCGGTCCAGGGCATTTTGAGGGACTACATCTGACAGGTCCGTCTTTGAATGTCAGACGGAGCCTTAATCCACGAATCCCATAGCTGCAGCTCTTCAGGATGCGCCCAAGAGCTCCATCGCAAAAGCTCCCAAGACCCCAAAGCCTTAAACCAGAGTCCTGTAAGCAGCAACCCCAACAGCTGACAGAGCCTTTGCCAGGGGTTTGGTGGTGGCGCCACTGCGCAGCTCCCAGCGAGGATAAATCCCTCCGCTGCTTCACTCGCTTTCAGGAGCAGCTGTCGCTGGGCTTTCTAGGGGGAGCTTACAAGAGCTGTAGGGGGGAGTTTGGCTCGGAAACTATAACATTTTTTTTCGTGCAGACTGTGGAAGAATTTTGTTGGATTTCTGGATTTACATATGGGAACCAGGTTCTCCTTGGGGTGCATGAGGCACTTGATTTGCAACAAAATTAATCGGATTTTGGTTGTTGAAGCGCATCTGGTTTGACCTGTCACTATGGAGGCATTATCAAGGCTTCTCATTTTTTGCAAACTAAAACCTGGTAGCACTACAGCCCAGGAGGATTGTTGTGCCTTTTTTTTGGCCTGCCAAACAAACCAACTTGTTGAAACTCAAGGCGGAAGCTTGGAGAAGAAGACAAGGCAGCGTAGCTGAACATTTGCTGTCTTGCTTTCCAGTCCTACTCGTGCAGATCAGGATGCGAGTGTGTCTCATGCGCTGCTTCGGTTTCTCCAGATTTTCAGGGGCAGGGTATTACTCAGGTCGCTTTCATGAAAAGCGCAGTTCTAGCCTTTCAGTCGCGGCACAGTGAGTCTTGTCTTTAAACAGGTGCATGGATTGAAGATCCGCTCTGCAATGGCGGCACATAGGACATAACCTGAGATGGATGGCAACATGATACTAAGGCTGTTGACTGCTGTTGGGCTGTAGTTCCGAACCAACACTCATAACGCACTACTATGGAGAAGTCACCCTTTTGAACCATCAGTTTCCATTTGTTTTGCCATTTCAGTTTCCATCTGCTTTTCCGCAGTTGCAGTAGTCCTCTCTCTCTCTCTCTATATATATATATATCCTAATGCATGTGTATATATATATACACATATAGACTACTACCATCGCTACTGCTAAAGGCACAAACAATCATACTTTGAAGAAAAATGTTTCAAAGCCAGAGCCGGAGCTGTTGCTATTCTACTTTGCCTACTTTACCGATACCATCAACCGTCCTATACCACTACTACTGATATCGTGACCATTCGCGATCTTGTCAACCAAAAAAAAAGGTGTGAAAAATCGAACGGGTCTGCATTCTGGTATAGACCCCATGAGGCCAGATGCAACAAGTTTTGGGTTCAACCTTTTGCATGAAAAGTCATGAAAAATAGCAGATTAGACGGTCATCTTAAGACTGCTATCAGCAGACCCTGTTCAGAAGTCACTACTGCGAATTGCAAAAACAATCATGCTTTGGAGAGTTTACTGTTTCAAAGCCAGGGCTGGAGCTATTGCTATTGTAATTTGGCTACTCTGCTGATTTCCTTCTATACCACTACTGCTGCAACCGTGGCCATTCGCCATCTCGTCATTGCAAACCACCAGACTCTACACAATCTTGTAGTGTAGTATGATATGAACATGAAGCATTCTTCCACTTTGTAGTTATTTGTGCATGCCGCAACGATGCCACTGACCATCCTCCATGACAGTTACTTCGACATAGACCGAACACGCAATTTGCCATCATGTGCTGGTGACTGCGTCCAGATAAACAGGTTGCAATTGTTTATCGTCTCATGGCATGTTTTCAGGCACGATGGTGCAGGCCCCGCTTTCTGATGAGGACATGGGTATGCAACTCAACAACCCTAGGACTCGCATCCTATGGGCTTATGCATTTTATCATGTTCTCAGGTGAACGTATCGCGGGGACCTACGAGATAATGCCCAGTGCAGACCTCAGAAGCAGCTCTACCCGGATGTTCCTCTCTCCAACAGTGCAGGCCTCGACCATGACGAGGACTGCGGACGCATTAGCGCATCCCTCAGGGCCGAATCCAGGTAGGTGTTTGTTGTGCGCTCTTCCGACTTCTTATCTTGTCCCTTAGATCCTGAAGATGAGTCCGCTTACAAGCTGAGTACTTGCGACTTGCACTTAGCTGCCTGCAGCTTCATGCACCAGATCAGGCGATGAGCTTATGGCCACGCCGCGATACTTCAGGCAGCAGATTCTTCCCATGCGTTAGCCTACATTTATAGCCCTCGCTGTGACAGGGCACGGTGTTTAGGCTTACACCTTTTGTTGAGGCCGTATCCGTAATAATATGTATGACAGGGCGCCGCCGGAATGGCAAAACATCAAGAATCAGGCAAGGTCATCCTTCGTCGCATTACACAAGATTTATCCGCGTCTGCAGGTGCTTGGACTGGACACGTACTACATACAAACGCAGAACACGCCTGGCGGACGTCAGAGTCCTAGTTCTTGCCTGGCCGTGTGAATACGATATGACCTGCTTTTTGCTCCAGGTTTGCCATTCGACATCTACACCATGGTCCTGCACTCAGATTGTCCTAGCATGGAACATGCGTGTGCTCACTGTCCTTTTGTAGGAGCGCCATCATGGCGAACCCCACTTCCAGTCTTTCTGGACGTATCGCCTGAGGCCGCTTGTTATATGTAAAGCTAATGGAAGTCTGCGCTGGATGTTTCAGGCAGCTGGTGACCGTGGCGCGCGAATTGGCCACTGACAAGCTGCAGCCTCGACTTCTTGGATGCTCATCATAAAGTATACAGCCACTGACGTCACCTACAAGACAAGTGCAGATACATACAAAATCTTGCTATGTCATCGTCTGCGGGACAACGCGGTATTTGCTCAGGCGAGCGCTGCAATGGGATCACGTCATCCCCACGCTGTGAGCTTCTGAGAGGGTTTTGGCTTCGTGTCTTCAACTTGCATGTTTCCCTTTGTCAGTATGTCGTGGTCCCAGGCTCCAAGAACCGCGGCCCAGCGCGCTACGACGGCGGTCCTAACCTCACAGCTCGGTGTGCGAGCAAAAGAAAGGCAAACGAGAGTGCGGCGCTTGCAAAGAAGTTGCTTCTAGTGGCATAACTACATTACTAGCGCATGTTATTCACGGATGTGATGCGTCAGTTTCTGTGCTGGTTAAAGACACGGCAGGAGTGGATGTGTTCCATGCATGGTTTGAACTGCTCCACATCAGCTGCAAGTTTCCTTGCGAACGCATTTTCAAGCTCGGGTCAACCTCTTTGAAATATGAGTTCATACTGATCGTCTCTGGTTCGAAAGCCGCAAACCCGCCGCAGGGTCCATCTGAATAAATTCCAGGTGTCCATTTCCGGTTTGAGCCCTCCAAAACCAGGCTCAGCTTAACGTTTGAACAAGTTTCCACATAACTGCCTTTGGTTTGAACCGCCCAAAACCAACCCGAAGTCCTCCCCCGAATATGTTCACCAATGTCCGGCTGCACTGCTAATGCTACTACTATTACTACCGCAAAAACCAAAGTTTCGGAGGTCTTGGGCTTGGAGGTCTCAGGAATTTTGCTTTTTGGTACCTCCTCAGGTTTTGGCAATATTTTCCTTGAA